CTCCAGAGCAGGATGAGGGGCTTAGATCAGTGCTCTGCCCACTCTGATGCAACTGTCAAGTATTAGCAGATAACACCCATTTATTCCCTGATAATGCTGAAAATGCAAGATTCCCCCTGAGCTGTATCACTTAGGGAGGTCACAGCTGTTTTCCCTTCTCCTCACTTTACTCCAATCAATGTTACACTTCATCTGGTACATTTTCAGAGCAGTTCTCCCACCCTCGCACCCACAATGCATGTGGCTGTCCTGGTGTGTCCAGACAATAATGCATCTCCACAACACTTCCTCAAGCCAAGCAAACACCCAGTTTCAGCTACTCTGATACAAAGGACAAAGTTTGAAATCAGACATGACAGTGAAAGGTAATGATGCCTAGTTTACTTTTTAATCATTTTCTGTAGACCAGCAAGGCCACACTGCCAGATTCAAGTACAAAGTAAAAGCACTTTCAAGAAAGTGCATCGCTGCCATTTGACGTATTTATACGCATATACGCATAAAGTGGGCAATTCCATAGTTACAGGTTCTAGCTATAAGGCCAGACAGAAGTCTTCTTGTTTGCAAACTCCTCATTCCCACCCCTCAGCTCAGTTTTACCATCCTTGACCTTCTAAGTACTTGTACTTTCTGGAGGGACTGATTAGAAATTCATTGTGTTTGCAAGCTTTTTTTTTTAATTAAAAATGTAATTTTCTTTCTTTGATGTGAATGTTATTCATTGCCTAATGCCAATATTTTCAGCTAATGATTTCAAAATAAGTCATCACAGTCTGAACATAGGACAGCAAGATGATGATTATGTGGTTCCCACTCCTTCCGCTCACCTCCCACACAGTTAGCATATCAATACCTTTCGTTCATATAATGGGCAGTGTGTGAAATTTCCAGGCTGCTTCCAGAATCCAAAGTAGGCAGAGACAGGCAAACAGAAAGGATTATTTGGCAGTAAAGTAGATAATCAATAAATGAATGCCCAGATCAATACTCATCCTCTAGCAGGACCACAGCAGTTAAGCTCCAATTGCCCTTAAAGAGGCTTTAACAAATAAATAACAAAAGGCAAATCAATATGTCTAGATGATAAAGATTTGGTATAATCTGCAGGCAAATGCCATACATTATGTGCATAGATCTCCAACTAACAGAATGTTACACCAGCTATCTATGCCACCTGAGGGCCTGACAGTTTAACTCATGCCTCTAGTTCAACACCTGTTTTAAAAGCAGTGTCTCTTTTGCTCTAGGTCATGAAAGAAACACATCATGAGAGCTTCTCTTTATGTGTGTATGTGTTGTGGGATTTATTTTTTTTTAACATGTTCTCAAAATATTTGTGCTGTCTCACACATATGCCTTTGTAGACAGCACAGAGGAAATGCAGCAAGAAGCAGAGAAGTCATTAAAAATTCAAGGCTAGGAGGGAATGGAATAGCCAGGATGCTAAAACCTTCATGGGAAAAGAAGACCTAAGCTAAAACTGCGTTTTCAGAATGTCAGATCTTAAATTCATTCTTTTGGAATTGAACCCTGAGGTCCTTAATCAGACAAGCTTCCTTCGAGCTTGAAAGATGGTCTCTCTTACAAAACGACTTCATGATTAGATAAGAGATGAAAAAGGAGCCCAACTTATGGCTTCTAAGCCCTCCTGAAATGCAAGGCAATGAGATGACGGGAGAAGGGCATCTATAGAGTGTTTGTAGTTTCTATCTGGAAACCCAGCTAGTATTCTAAAAATTGCGAATGCAGTCATTTTGTGTTCGCTGTAACAAGAGGGGCTGTTTTCTTCTCTTTGCTCAGATGACTTCTGCTGCTGAGGCTGGCTGGCTGGCTGGAAGTGCTGCAGCAGTGTTGGTAGTAGTGGGGTACAAGTAGTTGGCATCCTGGGAAGTGCAAGAAGCTCAGTAGAAATTTATGACCTGCAACAGGAATTTGTCCAGGTTTCTTCAATTTTCTGAAGTGTGACAGAGTGCCTGGTTATTACAAAGATTTTTTAATGACGTGTTGTTTTGAGAGCATGGGAAAAGGGGGGAAACACTGATGCCTGTAGTGTGATGGTACTAACAGCGCTGATCTGAGGAAAGCACACCTCTCATTTCTTGCCACAACTCCTGAAGACTGAGGCTTGCTGACTGAAGCACGTTGAACATGTAAGATTGCAACATAAACTTGTATGGCCAGAGGTGCAATGCAGGGGCCAGCAGCACTTCGTCCTGCAGTCCTAGTGTCAACAGAGGAAGTGGAGTAACAGCCGAACAAATCTGTCCTGCCATACCTGTTGTCCCACCCACACTGCACACAGTATGGGTGCAGATAGAGCATGGATTTAGATATGGGATATTCTTTGCATACCTTTTTAGTCTTTGTTGTTTGTTTGTGATCAATGTGGGGTGAAGGAAGGCAAAAAGATCCCATATCACAGCACAGACTCATTTTTACGCAAGAGAGCAATGGCATATTGAAGCACTCACTGTGATGGTTTCCTGGGTCTGCAGGGAGTGCTCAGCAAAAGCATTCTGCTGTGTCTGGATCGACATAACTGAGATTGTTGGTCCCATATGAATTGAACCAGGAAGTACTGCAGTATGTAGATGGGCCAGATAGGAAAGCAAATGTTACTGGCAGGTATGATCTTATTTCAGTATTAGGCTAACAATGTGACTGATGCTGAGCCAGTAGGAAATGATTATGGCCTAGATTAGATTACACATACAATGTCAGAAGAGCCCTTCTCCATTCCTGCAGCCCTTGCCCTCGTGTATCCCTGCCCTTCCCCAACATGCTCTAGAGAGCAGCAGCCCTTTGCCTCCCTTTCATCATGCTCCTCTTAGTGCAAGCAGTTTAGAAAGCTATATGAGCAATTACAGGCTCCATAATAATGTTCCACCAGCCACCTTCCCTTGCCCTCTCCTGAAATCTCATTAAAGAAAAAAAAAAAAAGGAAAACCTGTCTGTATGGAAATCCAAAGTGACCTCTCCTACACATGCATTAGTATTGGTTTCACATGCCAGAAGCATAAAGGGCTTTTCAGATCCAGAGGCTGCTGGCTATATCAGCAGGGCAGACAATTCCACAAAGCAGCATCTCCAGTGGCTGCCGTCATGCCTGAAGCTCTCTGGCCAGCAGATCCTCTTGGCCTAGTGTCAGCTTGCCTCCCTCCCTCTGCAAACAAAAGGAGTAGGTGTGTGCTGCAGAACGGGGCAGATTATGTTTATGAAATGTGCTGTCCTGTCTTACTAAGAGAGAAGCCACATTTGTCCATTTTCCATAACTGTGCAAAGCAGCTCATGAGGTTGTAGAGACCATGATAAAGTGCACAAAGGGATGGCAAGGCATCATGTAAAAAACTGTCCAGCTGACTTTAGGAGAAAAGGTACAGTTTTCATGGATGTAGGGAAAGGCCACAGCGTCACTACTAGAGGAGCTCCAGTTTTACAGTAGGTGTAGGAGAAGATACAGAAGACTCTTAGAGTACTGCTGAATAACAGCAGGAGTTGTGCAGACAGTGAAGGCCTTGTATGTCCCCACACTTGGAAGCACATACTTAGATCCCTGAGAATCATTCTGCTTGAGTTCAGACCGATCTGAATCAGTCCTGACGGCACAAGTGTATCTTAAGCTTGACTCAGGTCTGAGCTGAGAAAAAAAGGAAGCTTCCACTGCCTTGGAACTTCATATAAAACTAGTGCAAATTTGGATCTGAAAACAAAATGTCCCAAAGTCCAAAAGGTTCATTTTTTAGTACATTTTTGGTCCTAATGCCAATGAAATAGTTTCATTTCTGTTTGTATTACACTTACAGGCTTGCACTAAATGTTGCACAAACAGCAGCATGTGCTTTTTCTGCATTTACATGGCCACTGGATTGATTGATTTGGGTTATTTGTTAACTGCTGAGTGTTTATTTGTTCAGAGTACTGTTAGAAGCTTCTTAAAGGTGACTAGAGCACTGTATAGGAATTCCTTTGGACTGGACTGTAAAAATTTAGTGATATAAACAGGGATTGCTCCCCTGAGCTTGCAGGCATTAGAGGATGCAAGGCCCTAGCACAGCTGTTAGAGATGCTGGCAGCTGGACCTGCTGGGATGGCACAAAACCAGGAGTTTTCTTTATTAATACGCTCCTCATGTTTGAGCCAGTCAGTTCTTTCCAAATTTGACATTGTTAATGGCTAAACTGCAGCTGAGAGCTGCTAAATTGTACTAAGATGTGGCGAGGCAGGAGTAGTTTGGACCCAAACCAGCTAAGAGGTATCATTTAAAATACAGCCTTTCCTACTCTGATTTGTGCATGAAATGGAAGCTCCAGCTAAGGAATGCATTTAAGTATAAATTCCTATCCTTTACAATCAGTCAGGATTATAAAGCACAGGAAAAGAAGAATAAACTTGGGAAAATCCTATGGCAAGCAGAGTTGAAGACTCAAAAAAAAAAGGAAGAAAGAAGTATTTTTTCAAGAGTGAAAGGGATCCTGGCAATATTATCAGTCCAGCATGATAAATCTCCTATCTTCATTTCACTTGAATGCAAGAAGGCATAATTTTTTTCTATGTTGTATGAAGGCCGAAGGAGTTAATAAATTGATACCACTTCAGGTCTGTTAAAATCCTTTAAAGCACGTGGCAGGAAGAGAGACAAGAACACAAACAAGCAGCTATTAGCATCAGGCAATTTTGAATCACTAGCTCAGGCCAACTTCTGTCTGGCATGCTATCATAGACTTTGCTGTCTTGTCCCAAATAAAAGATGAAAGAGTTAAACCAATGCTCAGGTGTGTCCTTCTGATCTGAAGCAGGAGCTAGAGTTTCTATATCATCCACACAAGAGGTGCGTGGCCTATGTGCAAAGGCCTACCAAAGGTGCTTATGAGATTCCAAGAAATCCTTCTGAGAGAGGGACACTCTCAAAATATTGTAACACTTCATTAACAAAATTATTTCTTGCAGCATGTGGGAATGAAAGAAACTGTTCTATTATGACATTATTTTTTTGCCCTTACCTCTTAATTCCTCCACCTCCCTTTTGGTAGCAATATCAGGGAATTCTTCAGAGCATCTGTGATTCATATTTAATAGTCTGTCTTTATGAGTGTCATTGCAGGGAGTCACCGAGGAATATCTCCACAGGAAACAGCAGAGAAATGCAAAAGCAGACAACTGGAAAAAAAAAAAAAAGACAGCTATTAAAAATAAAGAAGACACCTTTAAATTTAACCTGCATCCAGAGGAAAATAATGGATTCTTGGATTCTTCAGCCAGGAATGGGAAAACAATTTTGCTCTGCAAGACTGGACCAAAAAGTCTTGGCCCTGGCAATACTGGAGTGTTGGCATCCCTTTCCAGCACAAGTTATATTACTTAGCAAAAGGATATCCTATTCCATTCATTTTCCTTCTCATGAGCCAAAAGCTAACCCATGCGCTTCCTTGTGATGGCTTTCCCTTTACTCTTTGTCAATTAGGATGCCAGCTCCTCAGTGTTAGCGCCGTGCTCAGTCCAAGGAAGGCCTCTCTCATGACTGAGACCTCTGTGTGATGCTGCTACAACAAACATGTTTGGAGGAGGGCCGAGGAGCACCAGCTCTGAGAAGATGACTGGAGAGAAACTGGGGGACAAAGCAGCATGTGGAGTCCTGTCAGGTTCCAGCTGGTCCATCCCATGGCAGCAAGACCCCAACCAGCGTCACCCTGACAGCTTGCAGGAGGAAAAGCCAGAGGACAGCTGTCTCACCCTGCCTGCACTCCATCTCGCAAGGTTTAGTTATTACAAGCATTTATCTCAGGCACTCACTACCCAATGGCTATTAGAGAGCAGTTAAGGTCAGAAAAGTGATTAGTTCACAACAGCTTTCTGACTTGACTTAGGGGCTTTGTTCATCTTTATTCAAGACTATTTGCTTTGCCGGCAGTTGTGTAATTTTCTGCTAAGTAATCCTGAGCGAGCATTTGGCCATGAAATCTTTCCTGGAATTAGTGGAAGCTGAAGGCTGGGTTACTGTTCTCTAAGAGAGTCTTTTCCTTTGCATGCTGTCTCTGAGCTCAGCATCTGTGTGATCTCTCATGCTATCCCACACGAGCACACATACACAGTTCTGTAGCTCCTGAAGCTCTACTGATTAACAAAGCCAATTAATAAAACATTATACTGCTGATTTAAGACATTTCATTCGGAATTCATTCTGCTCTGATTCACAGATATTGTATTTATTTGACAGGCAGCACCCCTGAGCAGGAATTCTGGATTCTTTCATGTGGACTGAAATGAAGAAAGTGATACATGAGCAAACACAGCAATACAAATCTGTATTGCCTGCGTCCAGCCTTCTGCAAAGGCATCCATCATTTTCAGTGTCAGGCTGAGAATTTTACATTTGTTTTGACTATGTTGGAAGAACAAAGTCTCCTTATCCCAGTGCCGATAGCAGGGAGGAAAAACATTGTCCTTGATTTCGTATCCCATCCAATGTAATTATTTTCTTTTAATCTTTAGGCTTATTCTTTCTGCCTCCTTCCTCCTTTTCTAATAGCCTTTTCCAGTAAACAATGGGTTAGCACTTTTTAAAAATCTCCTGTATATTTTGGCCCAAATCACCCCTCCTCACCCCACACACAAAAATGAAATATGATCAGAATACTGAATACATGTATGGAGTTGTATTGCTCACAGTTCTGCTTTCCTCTCCAGGGGTGAGTATGCCCTCTTTTGTGTGTGGTGCACACCAAGACAAGCTCTGCTCCACAGACATACCTCCAAGCCAGGGTTCTGCTGAGACCTGCCAGGAACCATTCCAGAAGACTCACTGTCCCCCCCCACCAAGCTACGCGTGTTTGGAGAGGACAGTCATAACTCTGGCCAGAGGAAGGCAGCCATAACATCTAAATGATGGACTTCCACACTTCCCTGCATTGTAAATCCCCAGCACGGCATCTGTGGGCATTGTACTGGTGAGCAAAACTGATCAGTCTCATTTAATCACGTCACACCTCATTTGTGCCACAAGTGTCAGGGAGCCAGGCACAACAAGGTTAATGGGCTGCACTGCGTCACCGGTCAGTAATCAGATTAAGCGGGCGGTCACCCAGCGAGTAGCCCTGGTTACATCAACCCTGAGCACTGCTTTCACCACCTGTGCCAGGCTGGCAGGAGGGAGGGCAGGCCATGGCAGCCAGGGGAGTGGGGTATTGCCAGAGACCAGGCCTCGGTGGGGTACAAAATAAAAACTGGCATGACAGACCTGGAGCTTTCTGTGTTTTCATACACTCTGTCTTTTTTAGCATGGTGAGGAGTCATTAGTATGGGCATCATTATTTTAAAACTCAGCCCAGCTGCTGGGATGTGATGGGAGCTGCTGTGGTTCCCCTGGAGCAGGATGGGGTGCTGGCACACGCCAGCTTCCAGAACCAGCATATCTTTACCGTGAGGCTCCGGCTCAGCACAGCGGTCACTTCCATGCAGGGCTGGAGCAAAAGGAAGCACAGATGAATGAAGGACATTCCCTGAATCTGGGAGTCAGGGAGGGTGGTACAGGCCTGTGGGGATTGTCCTGGGAGAAAGCCGATAATGGGAAAGCTTGCAAAATCCAAACTTAATCTCTTGCGCTGCAGAGAACTAATCCTCACGCTTGACATTAATCTTTTCAATGGAGATAAAACACCCTTATCTGCCACATTGTTCATTGAGCCAGGGATAGGGCCTGTGGTCTTCACGAGTGGGAGGCAGAGCTGCAGAAATTTTTGCACAGACATTGTCTTTATGCTGACTGACATCTCAGTATGGACTGGCATTTCCTATGTGACAGCCCATCTTAGCTCTCCTTTTCAGGAACATACCTCTTCAGTTGTTATTCCTTTTGTTCCCTTAAAGAGATAGGCTCCAAGAGCAAAAACAACACTTGGCACATGCCTTTGCACTCAGGTGATTCAGATGCTGTCCCACTACCTCCATAAACAGTAAGATAACACTTTGATACAAGTTTCTGCGGAATCAGGAAATGTGAAACTTCACCGTTTGAGATAAAACTGCAAGGATATAATCCTTTGCTCATTGGCAGCCATGCTGTGGCAAAGCAACCCAGCCTGGGCAGAGTCTAAAAGCAAGCCTCAAAACCAGTAAATCTGTATGCACGCGCCTCGATATGCAAAAACTGCAAGTAGAATTAGACCTCAGAATATCAAAACTATAAACACAGCACACAATTCTCAAGGTTTCCAGCTATCTCTAGGATTTGTGAACAGCAGAGAAACGGGAGGTAGCAAGGGAAGTAATCGAACTTCCTATATATCATATTGATTAAAACACAAGGAGTGCCCTTCAAGGAAGAACCTTGCATTCAGGGGGAGATATATTGGCTGGTCTGCCAAGCTGCTTCCAGCTCCAACAGCAGTGATTCAGGACATCTGACTACATTGTCATAGATAAAAACAAATCTGTGTTTTCAGCCCCTCTGCAGTCAAGAAATAGCCCAGGAAGAATACATGTCTTAATTAACCCCTCGGGAAGAGAAGACAAAGGCAAATAACAAGCAGAATACTGCACAGATGGAAAGCATTTTGACAATGAATCCTTTGAAGGCAGATGACTCTTTGTTTGTTTTCACAAAAGAAAAATGTACCTCTGTCTGGCAGCCTAATGAAAAAAGGTCACACAGCACTCAAGTTGCCCAAGAGTCTGATTTCAAAGATCCAAATGATGCCCTGTGTGGATTTCACCTACTGACTGCAGCTTTTTGTTGGCAGGAAGGAATTCCAGCTGTGCGTGGGCTGCCGCTCTGCTACACAGGATGCAGGAGCAAAGCATGACAAGTTGACACCACCATTTCCTTTGAGCAACAGATGCCCGCGTGTGACATTGCTTGAATCTCCCACTTGAACAGTGAGAGCAAATGGGCCTGTCTCAAGTTTTGTGCAAGCAGGTGCACTCACAAAGTGCAAATTAAAGCAAGAAGGAAAAAAAAAACCTGTTTTTTTGAGCACAGGACACCTGTGCAGCAAAGAGCAAAGTGGGAGGAAGAGAGAACAATTTGAACCAGCCTGCACAGATGGGAGATGCTCTTCTCTTTCCTGCCAACAGAGGCCGGATCCTGGCAAAGCCCCAGTCTGGTGCAACAGGCACACTGCTGGAGGAGCTGGTGGTCACACAGCAGAGGAAATGTCCACAACTATTTTGAGGAGAGGCTGGAATCATCAGCATATCAACATGTTCTGAAATGGTGTTTTCAGGCGAGAAATGTAAAGCAATGGTCATACATGAGGAGAGAGAGATGCAGTGTGAGCCCCGGTGACGGATCGCAAAGAGCAGTGCTCTAAGTTTTCTTTCCCTTTGTTCTTCTCCCATGTGATCTGAGCTCTAACCCTCCACTATGTTAATTACCCAAATTGCATTCAGGCACTTGCTTCCTGTGAGCAAAGTCTCTGTTTCAGGTGAAAAAAGACACTGGGGAAGATGGCATTAATTCAGGCAGTTGGGCAGGGATGCAGTGGTTGGCCATACCAATGTAGCTGCCCTTTTCAGGGCAGCATAGCTTTTAAAATCTTGCTCCCGCTGTTTTCTGTCTCATATTTTGACCTGTCACTGTGTAAGTCTGAATAGGGTATTTTTCAAACTCTTTTGACCACCTTTGACCAACCCACTTTGGCCTAAGGGATATTTTCAGGAGATTTATCTAACAGCTTATCATCTTTCAAGTGCCGAAAGTGGCAAATGCATCCCCGGGGGATCTTTCTAGCACATCATCACCTCACCCTTCTTATTAACAGGACTATCCATCTCCAAAGGCTATGAAGCTCTGGTTACACACTCTCTGCAAAAAAGGATGGGGAGAAATTTATGGTCTTACTGTTTGGAAGTAGCAAAGGTGTCAAAACAGAAGAAAAGCCTAGGACCTGGCTGTGATGCCAGTGAGAAGTGGAAACACTGGGGGACACTGCAAGACAGTGATCAGCCACAGAGAGCTGCAGAGAGGGGAACAGAGAGGAGAAAGCCTCCCTGCCTGACCTCAGTACTGCCCCAGTGGTGGTGGCCAGGGATGTGGGAGCACTCCAACATCACTGTCCTCCCCCAATACAAATGGTGGCAAGGGAAACGCAAATGATGGGAACCCGGGCTATAGCCAATTTATGCACTATAGGAAGCTGTTTAGCAGGAACAATGACATTGGA